CTTATAAAGTTACTTTTCTAGCAACTGATAACATAACAAAACATCTTAATTATTTTTATAACTTAATAGAAAAATAAATATTACAAAATATATAGTACAATAACGTTAGACTTCTCTTAAAGTCATCCAATTCAGATATATATTTCTTTTCCTTTTAATTTTTTTCGTCGATATATTCAAAAGTAAGAAAAATTGTAATATCGTTTAGGTTACAGACCGCTTCACTATAGTTAACAAATAGGTCATAATATTTTTAGATTAGTCAATTCTCCAAAATTTACTTCCTTTTATTGTATATAACCTCTGCCTAAACGTCATTTTTTTTACTAGTTTAAAAAGCGGAGAAATCGCCGTTTGGTATTTAATAAGTAAAAGTTTATTCATAAGTTAATAAAAATTCTGTATTACAGAATATAATTCAATATATTTTCATTTATAAGGCATTACAGTTATTAAATTGAAGTCTTTATATTTAATAATAATTTATTATTATTATTATTATTATTTTAAAGAGGTTACCACTTTACGTACGGCCTATTTAGGTTATTACCAGAATTTTTAAACTGATAAGAATGTAAATTTTCCTTGCTTAAATTTTAATTATTTTATTTATTTTTGTCCGCTTATTGTGATAAAAATTTATTCTTCAAATTAAAATAGATCTAATCTTTTTATTTGTTTACTTATTTTTGATTTATTGATATCATTTTTGCCTTTTTTTTTTTACTTGAATTTATAGGAATTTACTTCCTGAATTAGTTATTTTCGTGTTTAAATATAAATGATCCTTTTAATAAAGATTATTATTAAATTTTTTTTTTTGTTATCTGGAATTGTTATTTAAATTTTATATTAATAATTACGGATGTAAAGTTAATTTTAAACTTTATTTGGCGAATTTTTCCGTTTTATAGTATAAAAAAAAATAAAAATAAACATTGATACTACGTGATACTTTTCGGATGGATGCTTAATACAAAATATTTTAAAATCTTTCCACTAATTTTTTCTTTTAAAGAAATGTACGCGATGCTTTTCTATTCACACATTAAGGATTTTTGAATAAGGGATTAAATTTACTGCTAATAAGTCAAGGCCGGCGTCCTCGAAACGAATAGGACATGTCCGTCACGACCTGCTTTTTCACAAACGACGTCTTAAAAAGTTACCTAGTTAGCGAATGTTACGATGACTGCTTCTACGTTCCGTCTGGACGAACGCTTTCCTTCTTCTTCAAAGCATTGTTAAGAGTGTCATCTGCATTTTAACGAGCATCCGTCTGAAGATACAGCTAGCGTTATTATTAAAGATGGTGCAAGACTGCGTGTCCCCCTTTTCTCCTTTTACACATTGTGATTTTGCAGTGTCCCAAGTTGCCAATGCGTTTCTTTTATACGAATGAATTATTTTTGTGTCTTTGAATTATGTTTAATTGCAGCAGCATCCAAGATTAGATTTTTTTTTTTTTCATCTGATATTATAATTTTTGGTTATACTTTAAACGTAGTTTTTAGCCGTAACTAAATATTATTTTAATAATTCATGAATATAGCTACTATTAAGCAATTTTTTTAGGCAACTTCACTTATATAGTTAGACAATTTTTAGTAGCTTCACGTATGTAGTCTCATTAAACAATTTTTAGTAGTATCTTCACGTGTGTAGCCTCAGTTTTATATATATATATATATTAAAGTAGTTTCGTGAATGCAGCTACATTTAAACATTCTTTCAGCAGTTTCACGTTTATGGTTGCAGTTTTAAAAAAAGAGAAAAAAAATGTTTAAGTATTATCACGTATGTAGCAACAGATAAAAGACTTCTTTCCAACATACATGAATACCTAGCAGCTAAACAGATGTTACTACCTAATTTCTTTTTCCCTCATCTTTTTTTGAATTGCAAAACATTTTGTATAGTAACAAAAAGTTAAGAAAGAAAAAAAAAAAACAAAATGGAGAGCGATTATAATTTATAATTTTTTTTTCCTCAAAAGATTCTTTATAAGATCAATCCGATGTAAATAAATCATTTACTTGAATGTAAAATAATCTTATTTTAAATAAATAATAAATTAATATCAATGAAATGTAGTAGTAAGTCTCCAATTACTGTTTAGTAACTGATAATTTGGAAACATCCATTAGGCAAAAGCGGGACATGTACAGTGTACAGTACGATAATTAATGATAAAAATAAAGTCTGTAAATTTTAATTATCGGTATAATTACGATTATAATTTATAACTAATAATAAATAAACCCATAAATATGTACTAAGTTGCTGATTATGGAACGAACTATGTGATTCTGTTTAAAAATATTTATCATGTTTTCCTCTTACACTTAAGGTAAAAACTAAGCCTCGAGTCCTACAATAATTTATTCGCTATAATGAATGAAGTAATAAATCGAACTAACATATATTTTTTTTTAGTCACCTGAAAGTATCATTTAAATGACAGATAATTTTTGTTCTGCGAATTTTTATGAAATAAAATAAGCGAAAAATTATTAACGATTGTGTCTGTTATATGTAATTCGATGGAAATTTCTGTGGAATATTGTATTTTTAATACAACCTGTTCCAGCAGACTTTATGAGTCATCAGCATTCAAGCTGTGTCATTATACTGTTGCTTTAAACATCACGATTCTAAACAGTATAATAGTTAAAATGGCGAGAGGTGTATATAAATAAATATTTCGTGTTAAAAAAAATTTATTTTAAATATATAAATTCCTAATAAAATAGATCTGGTGTGTTATACATACATCGAGGACACAGTTATTATTTTAAAAAAAAATTTTGTACTTATATAGAAAATTTTGTAGATCTTAACAATTATAATAGCTAGATATTCCTGTTTAAATAATTAGAATACAATGACGTCATTTATTACCATACCATTCATACGCATTATCATTCTTGGTGTTTTGAAATCTCTATACAATTCAGCACTTCTCTATTCAGATCAGTTATGGCGCCTAAACAACACACGAACGATGATGTATGCTCTATTCAATTTTTGTTATATTATAAAACGTAGGACTATAAAAATGAACTAACTCTCCCGCCGAAAAAAAAAAATATACAAACAATAGTTACAAGTTGATATATATTTTCGTGTCAACAGATTAATAGTTTTATTAGAAATAAAGGGTCGTCTTAGAAAATAAGGAAGAGAAAAGAAAAAAAAAGTAGATTACCCAATTTTAGCCTTGAAAACAAAAACACCAATTTTTAGGTCATGACATAGAATCCGATTCAACATCATCTCCACCCATCTCGTAAAGGAATCAGGTTGAAGAGGCACTGATCTAACATTTAAGGCACAAATTATGCATAGTATATACTGTATATATATATTTTTAAATATATATTATCTATTACTAAATTTAATTTAGAAAATAAAACTTTTTTTTATATGATAAAACTTCGTTATAAAATAATCAGAGTAAATAGATTCAAAAAGGTGGTGGTGTATTTTAATAGGTCACGAATCAAGGTCATTAGCTCGCTATATTCAGGGTGTACTGAAGATTGGACAAGATGAAAACTTGAAGTGACATGGTCTATGTAATTATAATTCTTGTTCTTAGAATAATTTTAAATAGTAATTAAAAAGTATATATATACCGACTAATTTAAATTTTTCCTCTCAGAGAACTTTGAATTTTTTTTAAATAATAATAATAATAATTAGTTTTTTTCAATACGGGCGAATCTAATCGTGCCAATAGATTTTTATATATGGTGCCGCTTTGTAGATACACCCCACATCTGTTCTCGATATACAGAACAAATTCCCATTGCCTGAAACGTCAACACTTAACACCATTGCATTCTATAACCAGACATTTCCTGTAGAATAAATTACATCAAATGAACTCGTCCATTTATATAAATAAAACACGTTCTTACTTCCTCCAACCTGCTGATGTTTTGTAGTTTGCCGGGTTTGTTAAAGTGTCGAATTTAATACCATTTGTTTGACAAAACGTAATTTGAGATGGAGAGTTGAACGGTCTCCGTATGTTTTTCCAAAAGTATACATTACAAACCGAACAACAAGTTACCCGATACAATGGTATCATCCGATTCACTTTAATTCAATACAATTTCTATCTCTCCCCATCACTAAAAGGAAATATAAAGCATTAAAATAAAAATCTTACGAAATTCTCTTACAAAACTCGTATATATTTTTTAAAATTATATTCAAGATAAATAAGGTGTGATACATTCTCTTTATTCGAATAGATTATGCACATACACAACTTTTTGTTTTTTTAAAAAAAATTTGTTATTTTTTTTAAAATCTGGTCCGCAGGTTACTACAACAGGTCAAAAAAAAGAAAGGCCACACAATAAGGCACCTTGTTAAGATCAATAATAATAAAATGAATTATTATTTTTTTTTTCTTTACATTATTCTTCGATATCTGTACATTTGATTTTTAAAATTTCTATTCAGAAGGTGGGAAATCAATCACAATATGAGGGATAATGTGGGAGATGCCTCGTGAGCTAGTGCCACCCTTTTGGTTATTAAATTAGTTTTAAAAAAAATGGCTGGCCGGATAGCACTCGTTCGACTTAAGAAAATGGTCATAATAAAACTATTTTCTAGTTTTGTGACCGTTGTATGAATTTGTGCGATTATGACTTAACTGTACACAGGATGTTTCATTTCTTCATACAAAGGACGACATAAAACTTAAGCTACCAAACCGGGGAAAAAACTATTTTAATTAAAACTCTCCGACTATAAATTTTTCCTTTTTTTTAGACATTTAATCAAGAATTAAATCTAGTCTACAGTCTTTGGTGAACTTTTTTTTAGCCTAATTTTAAGAAATTTCGAATATTTGTTTTGGAAAAGCTCAAAAGACACCTTCCTAAATTTTTTAAATATTTTTTATCGTTATTTCTCCGGTCGATACATCTAACAACGACAAGATTTAAATATGAGCATTTTAATAATAATATAANGATAGAAAGATTTACATAATAATAATAATAATAATAATAATAATTACCTAAGGCATAGTTTATAATAAATAACTTAATATTTAAATATGGGAATACGTAGGACTGATTTTTCTCATTAATGCTTTCTTTGAAGGTATTAAAAAACCTATCATGCCCATAACTGAATAAGAAAAGATTTGATTAAGAGGGAGATGGTAAAGATTTCTGTTAAGCTAAATCCTAAAAATACCAAAACTATTGCGCGTTTTATATTTGGAGGGAACTATTTGTGGAGTTAGAAAGTAGAAAAATTCCAATAGAATTAAAAAGAAATGCTAAAAACTCCAATTAATATAATTGTACTCCCGTTCGAAAAAAAAGAATCTTTACGAGAGAGAAATAAATTAAGTGGATCTTTTTCGAATGAAAAAAAAAAGCTCATTTCGTACAGAACGACGCCATCTTTGTAAAATCACAATAGTTGCAAATTTGGCAAAAATCAAATTGGTCCCTTCGTTACAATATAATTAAACACTGTACACCGACCTGTATAGATCGGAAGCCTTCGAATTAGTCGAACGTCTAATCCGAATCGCAGTTAGCCAGTCGACTGAATATAGGCAGACGTGGCAAACCGCGAGTTGCATCCAACGGCGAACTACATGTTGCTGGCACAGGACTTCCACCCAGACTGAGAGACTCGAGTTCAGAACCTAAGGATTCGACTGGAGATGGCGGTGAAGGTTCCATAGAGTATCCTACTAGTTGGTCTCGATATAAGTCCAGAACCAGGTCGTTGGAGAAGGCACTGTAATTCCCGTACTGGCCATTTGTTTTGATATAGTCAGGTTGGATTGGAGCAAATCCCACACTTTTAGGTGTGGGAGTGGAACTGGGTGAAAAGACAGCGAAGGGCTCGTCTACGAAGAAACTGTTGGGAGATGTGGGACTCCCACTGAGACTGGACGGCGGAGAAAGATCTCCCGTTGATCCCAGACTGAAACTCCCGATAGACAGGGCTTTTGGTCTGGATGGTTGTGTTTGGGTCGCCTGCTGAGGCAGACTGACTGTGTTTTCGCTGCCGGTCGACCGGATCGATTGCATTCCCGTTACTTGGAGATGCGTGAGCAAATGCTTCTTGGTTTCTTCACTGTTGTGGATAAAATGGCATCTGGGACCATAGGGACAAAATCCGGTGCTGTGGAAAGTCCGACACAATTCGGTTTTGTACTTAGGGTGACGGACGAGAGTGCGCAATTCGTTTATACCGTGAGCGAACTGGCACTTTTCTCCGTATTTGCACGTACCGTTTTCTTCGTATGGACGGCACAATTCGGTCTTGTATCGACTCGAATTCGCTTGATTCGAACCAGATGCTGATTGCCTGGCACGTTCCACCGGTTCACTGAGACTTCGATCTAACTTGCGATGTTGTTCCCTCGTTGGAGAGTTGCACATCATACTGGCATTCGTAGACTGTTTGGCTTCACTCTTACTGGATGGGCTGGAACTGGTGGTGCGACGTAAACTCTGTATGGCCACGGGAGAACCCATATTCCGACTATTCGTAACTGCACTATTACTTCGACTCTGCACAAAACAAATAAAACTTATTATAGTATCGAGATTACCGACTCGTTTCGTTTCTTAACTAGGCTACTTACTACCCATCTCTCTCTGACCTACTTTTATTAGAACGGAAAAACGACTCAAGCTTACCTTGTACACACTATCTCCGTACTCGTAGAATGCTGACACCATAGCCGTTGACATTATCTCCATTTAAATAATAACACTAAAAAAAAGACACCAACACAAAATGTGTACACCACTTCTCCCGAATCCACATACACACGCCACGGCGTACTGGGTTACGCTGAATCTTCCACTCGTGTGCTTTCAACTTTTCTACTCTGCTTCGCTACGCTGCTCATGACGTCATTCGTTGAACAGGCGTGTCTTCAGTTCTCATCTACCAATAGTTTCACCACGTGGTTGGAAGCCGCGCAGCTTCTAACCACGTGGTGATTCAGCACTATTCTCTCTATACAGCATTCATCCTTAATAGATTTCTGCAAGTAAAATTTGCTAAATTCCCAAACAGCACTTCTACATCTAACTACAGTTAATTCAACTAGACACAGATAGTATGTAAATTATCTCATTCATTTTATTATTCCTTTTTTAATCGTCTATATGCAATATCACTGAAAATAATTAGTCAACATATTAAAGTTTTAACCTTGCTACAAAAACGACGTCGACATTTTAAAAAATACTTTTCGTTACAGATCGTTTCCCCGTAAAATATCACATTAGGGGAAAAAAGAGAAAGAATTCGACTTTTAGTCATTGTTCTTTCGACCACTATTGCTAAGACGTGTCACATGACGTTAACGTCCGGTCGAGCTAACATATAATGTCCGAACGTGGGAAAGAAACGCCATAGGACCTGGAAGGATGACATAGATACTCCGAGTAAAGATCTATACAATATATATAAATACATATATATCTATATACAGTATTTCGAAAACGTATGTGAACTTTATAAATATGTATATGTATGTATGTATGTATGTAACCATCGATGAGACAAGAGAAATACAAACTCTAAGAAATAAAAAAAGAAAGGAAAAAAAAAAAAAACTATATCTCGTTAAAGATTCAACATCTAAGATTTAAAACGTTAAGCGTTGCAAATTTCTGTAAGTAATTTGACCGGATGCGGGAGGTGATTTCCGTTATGCATCCATTGTATTCTACGTTCCTGTTTTATTATACTTCTCTTTCCTCGATATTCTCTACTCCTACGGAAGGTTTTTTTTTCCATTATAAGTACAAAAATTAACCGAAAAAAAATCTTAACGAGTCCCCGTATGACGTCATCCGTCCAATAACAATCAGTAGTAAATAATGTAATGGAATATATTGCCATCTGTCGGCGTAAAAGATTACTGAATCTTCGATGTTAAAATATAGTAAAATATGTACATAAATAAGCATATATATTTAATATATTTATATCTAAAAAATCATACCTTGTTATAAAAATTATATAATATCATTATTATATATATAATATCATATTTAAATATGATATTTAAAAAAAAAAGTGGAGGAAAGCGCAACATTAAATGTGATTTATTGTTTAAATTTTATTTTATTTAAAACATAAAAATAAGAATAACGTGTGTAAATTGCATTTTAAATTGGAATGAGTTCAACAAATAATCGTAAGCGTAACCGTAAAGACATTCCCGGAGAGCTAAAGATAAACTTAGTATAACAAGTAATTATTATTATTATTATTATTAATGTGTTTACATTAATTAAAAATTATACATTTTAATATATAATTTCCTTCAAGAAAACAACATTTATTCACTTTTAAATTAAATAATTTAAATTAGTGACAAAGATAACAACTTAAGAAACGAAGAAATTTACGCCGCCACCTAGTGTTCAATTTTTAAATTATTTAATACAGAAGCTGTGTGTCTGTGCCACTCGTGTACATATATACATAGATTTAATCCTTAAAATGATTTAAAATAATTATAAAAAAATTAATTTTGAATAATAACAGTTGGTTTAGTATAGGAAACGAGAATTAACAATTCGTAAATTTTTGAACAATATTTAATAAATGGGCAGTATCCTGTCAATTGTAATCATAATTCAATATAAAAAAAAGGAGAAAAATCAATGTTATAAATAAATAATTTAATTATTCTTTTTAATTTGTTATTAGTGTATTAAAGATACAAGAGATGAGAAAAGTTTCCTAACTAAATAATTCTACGTTAATTGTTTATATATGTATTCAGCTGTACTAATTTTCGATATATTTTTATGTATAAAAGTTTACATAACGTAGGAAATACTTGTATAAATAAATATAGTTTAAAAATATATCAACGGAAATGTTGGCAAAAAACTTTTATTAGTTTCAGTTTAATGTTAAGTGAAATAATATATCAAAATAATAGATTACAACCTAATGGAGCAACCAAAGATATATTAAAGCAAGGAAAAAAGCACGTTGCTATTAAATTATTCGTGTTTTTGCACGTATATTGCAACATGCAGGAAAGAGGAGACGTCCTGGATTCATTTTTCTATCGAAAGTATTCTAGTCATGATTTTTTGATGCTTAACATTTTTGTTTTGTTGGAAATAGCGGACGTAAGTAGAAAATGTTATTTATGTTACCGGAAATTAATTACCTGCAGAAAAAAACTTTTTCGGCTTACAATTGCATTATACAGGATTAAAAAAAAAAAACAAAAACAAAAGGGAAAATCGTATTCATAATCTTCCTATTAAATGGTGAAGAAGAAGTTAGAATTAATAAATGAATTAAAATTTTATTTTATGTTAAGTTGGCAAAGTTTAAAGTAAATATCGTAACCTTATTAATCAATCGCCAATTATTGATATCGTCATTAATCATGCTTATATAAACAATCGAATTTTCATTATTCCTTATAGAAATGCATAAGACTATTTAATTTTTAAATAATAAATTTCGGTTTTCTTTTCGGATAACGTCAGTAAACAAACTGTAAATACTTTAATTTAACTCATTAAATAATAAATAACAAAAAAAAAAATACACAGATTTGAAATGATATTTTAATAAATATATAAAAAAGCTCACTTTTCTTCTTTTTTTTAATTGTTTTATGGCAAACGAAATAGGTAAGTCTGAGTTATTTGTAATTAATTGATACTGGAAAACGTATTGTCACGATTACACGATTTCAATGACAATATCTCTACGTGAATTGCCAATTTTACAGATACGTTTTGTAGGAATTTCATGAAATCATGATTTTTTTTTAATTACATCATAAATAACTTGCAAATAAGTGAGTTTCAGTAAACATTATCACAAATTAATATGAGTTAAATGATCATTCATTAATTATGTATATGGTTTAAAGAGGGTTGTTGCGAAGCTTTGTACGCGATGGGGAGGAAGGGAAACGAAGCATGGTTTACGTGAAATTTTTTAGCGTCATTACTGGCATACGAATTTCTTCTTATAAGCTTATTTAATAGTCATCTGAATAAACTATCGGTTAGAAAATTTGTGCAGAACTTTTTACAGTCATTTCTTCAATGTCAGGAAGAGCGATGAACTAACTATATGTAATTAAATGGGAGGGGATTTGTCATTGTACACAACAGGGAGGGAGGATGTTAAAAGTGGCTCAAAAACTGTACATATAATTAATGGACGGCACCTAATAAACATAGTAGATAATTACAGAATTATCTTATATATCAGTTATTCTATCTGAAATATCTTTTGAATGAATCTGATACCAACTTTTGGTGGTAAACATGATACAAACAACAAAGAATATGAGTATTTATGTTGCTTATAAACGTCGTAACCATACTTTTATGACTTTCTTTAATATAACAGAATTTTCAATAAGAAGAGAAAATTCAATTTTA